TATCTAAAAAGTTTAGATTTAGAAAATTTAAGATAGTTAATATTATGTAGTAATAGTTTAATAAACCTATTCTCTTGTAGTAAGATGGTTAGTAAATAGCTAAATCATGTAGATAACATGGTGGTCTTGGTATTAAGGATTCAAGGATTATATACAAATCTAAATTTATTAATAAGTGTTCTGTAAAATTGTATTAGTTTAGTTTTAGTATAATATTATATGTATTGTATTACTGTTCTCCAAACAAATTAAATTTATAAAATTAATAAAAAAAAGTAATTTTTTACAGTTCTATCAAAAGATCAAACATTAAAAATGGAAGCTGCCTGGTGATAAATTAAAGAATTAAATTCAAAAGGATTCTTTTAAACAAGAGTAGACAATTGGCTATTGGCACTTCAAGCAAAACTTGTTGCAATTATCGTAATATTGCTAATTATATTTCAAAAAAGTCAAATAAAAATTTGGACAGATTATATAATCTATATTAATATTTTACAAAAGCTTTTAAATTCTTATTTTAGAAATATAAGAAAAAAAAATAAAAATAAAAACCGATAACTATGAATGAGATATATAGATCTAATACATAAAAAACAAATTATGATTCAAATAATTAAAATAAAAGTTTATAATAAGGATAATGCTAATAATAAGATAAATCTTTTTGTTAAAACAGTAAAAAAAATTTTTTTAAATTTGTTAAAACAGTAAAAAAAAATTTTTAAATTTGTTAAAACAACTGATATTAGCAAAAAATCCTAACAACACTATACTAAAACAAGATTCTTATTAAAATAGAAATAAAAAATTTTATTAAAAAAATATATAAAAAAAGTATTTTAACAAAATATATAAATCAAAATCAAATATAGAAAATATAAATCAAAAAAATAAAGGATCAAGAAAATTTTAATTAAAAAAGTTCTTAGAAAGCTAACAAAATAGGAAAATCCCTAATAATATCTAAGGATTCTAATGATTTTTTTTGATTTTGTATTTGATTCTTAAGTTTATATTAAATTTAATAGATATGATATATTCCACTATTATATTTAATAGTATTTCAAATCTTATATGATTTTTTGTGATTTTGTTCAATTTCAATTTTTGGAACTATAATAATATTACTCAAATAAATCAAAGAAAAAGCCTTTTGAATAAAATTAATATATAATAAATTATCAATCCTAAATAATATAACTAAAAAATTTCTTATAAAATATATAAATCTGATTAATTTCTTATATTGTTAACAAGAAGAAAGATCCTTAAAACATCTCTTTTCTTATAATGGTATCATAAAAATAAGTAAAGAAATATGGAACAAAAGTCAAGATCAACTATTCAATAAATAATTAGAAAATACTTAAGCAAAAGAAATACAAGATAAACAAATTTTTATATAAGAGCTTTTACAAAAATAATATAAATATAAATTTTCTATAAGTATAAAGATTATAAACTTATGTTTAAGACTTTTCTTAAAGACAGATATTTCAGAATAGATATAAACAATAGTTAAAGTCAAAATCAAAACCAGTGAAACAAAATAGTTATTAAAAAAGTTTTTAAGAAATATTTTCAAGCAAGTTAGAAAAAAGCTATAAAATAATAGATGTATTAAATTATAAGACTTAAAAACAAATTCAAAATATATAAATATAAGAAAAAAGATATTTATGAAATAAGAAAAAAAAAGAGAAAATCCAAAGATTCTGAATAAGAAAAAACAAGTCCAAAAAGGTTATAAGAAGATGATGTAAAAGATTTCACTTTATAAATTTAAGATAAGATCACAATTTGAAAATAGATTAAAGAAGGGAAAAAATAATTAGAAATATAAAAAGTAGTTTAGATTTTGATAAAATAAACTGTAATAATAAACTGCAGACAATGATCTTTAGAATTAAACTTCATAAATAAGTAAATTATAAAGAAAACAACTTTCTTTATTTTCAAAGTCACATCTAGAGACATTAGTTAAAGACAAATGTTCAAGGTAGTAGAATAGTTTATGTAATACAATATATTATACATTATTTGTTTTCTGTAAAGATTCAATAAACAGTATGCACTTGTTTGACTATAGGAAAAATAAAAATAAAATAAACATGAATTTAAATAAGTTTAAAAAATTAAATAACATAATTATATTGATTCAAAAATAATTAAATTTTAAAATAAAACAATTTAATAAAAATCAAATTCAAATAAATTAATTATATTGTTTAAAGGCATAAATTATGATATATCAAATATTAAAAAAAAATACTGTATATTTATTTGTAATTATATTTTTTGTTAAAATTTAATAAATAATAATTATTGTTTATTTCAAATAATATATATACTGTATATACTGTACAAAGGTTTTTTTAATATATATTTACAAATACTTTTTATTTATTTATTTATTATATTGTATATACTGTATGAAAATTTTGTTTTTATTAAAAAACATTGAATCAAATCAGATTGTCTTTGTATTGGATTTTTGTATGAAAAAAAATGGACGATTCTCAATATGTGATGTTGTAATATTAAGATAACAAGCCATAACTTTGTAAAATCCTATCATCGGTAATGTAAGGCCTGTAATATAATTGTTTCGCTTTTTTTTTATTATAAAAACAAGGTTAATTCGATTTTGAAAAGGCCAATGGATTAGTAACGATATCAATTAATTAATCGATTAATTAATTAATTATTCAGTTTTTACAGCGTGCGCACTTGAGGTTAAAAAACTTTCTTTAATAAAGTTTCATTTTAGAAAACAAATAATTGATTAATAATAATAACAGTAATTAAATAAATATATAAATATATATATTCCAAAACAATTTTTTGTTTTGTAAATCTTTGCTGTTTGGAAGTTCTTCATTCATTTCGCGATTCTTTTTCTAGTTATTTTGTTTACCACTTTGTTAAAATTTAAATAATTCGAATTGCGTTTCCAAAAGTGGCTAATAAAAATATAAGAACAAAGGTTGCGCCACGACATGGTCGAGTATCTCTTTCATCTTTGGCACGTGATAGCATATTTTTTCTTTTTTAACTCGTTTTAGAATCTTCTATCAAAAAAAAAAAAAAAAAATATGTAATCTGCTTGATATTATATGCCAAGGGTCTTGTTAGAAAAATATTATTCAAAGCTAATTAGACTTTAATGATAAGATGTGCAGTGATGCGTTACTTTTAAGTTATGATTTGCGAATAATTAGTTACATGCGATTATTTTAGAACACCGTATCTTACATTCTGAAAATCCCATAATATTCTCCATCGAAGGAATTTTATTTGCTGTAAATTAACCTTGTTTTTTTTTTAATAAGTACTATAAATATATAAAATGCTGTGTAATAATTAGCTGCACTAATTAATTTTGTGTCACCATATTTCCCTTAAATAATCATAAACAAAATTAGATTTTTTTTTCTAAAACCCGTTTTTGAACAGCCTTATGCGGCTGTGCTAAAAAAAAAGCGTATTTGGCTAAAATTCCAAAAGCCATCGATTCTTATCTTCGCCTTCTGATCATCTACGTGTAATTATCCAGTAAAGCTGAAAGAGACGCAAACCCAAGAGAGAATTCAAAAAAAATTTTTTTTTTTTTCTCTTGAGGGAAATATAAAGGCGGGTAATGTGCTTTTAATATATGTTTTGATAACTCTATTGCATATAAATAACAGCAACCTTGTGTTGCTGAATTACTCGCGTTGAACCGACTTGCTGAATTAGGACAACGGGCGTTGGGCACAATATCAAAGTGCATGTGAGGTTATAATAATAAAAGCTCGAATGCTCTGAATTAGCAATGCGACAACTAGCTGATTCCCCTGATGTTATATTATCATCTCAAAGCGATTGTTAAATATTAGGAAAAAAAAAAAACGATCGTGCACAATCCTATCACCCTGGCAATTAAGTTTTGTTTTTATAACTTTAAATTTTTTTGAATCAATAATTAACGAATTTGGAAATAATTTAATTATATTTTGCTTGCTTGCAGGTTCATTCATATTTCCTTACGTACGAGCTCTGGGTGTGACAGCCGTTATTATTCGTCACGCGTTTCTTACTTCCGGTATTAAAAGGCTTCATTACTGATACAATACAATACATATATTGTGCCATATATACACACGCCTGTCCTTTTTTAATAAAACAATAAATAGCACCAGTGAATAGTATAATATAATTTTTTTTATGACCACTTTTTTAATTTAATCAAAAGAAGGATTCGTTTTGTTTATGCATTTGGTCACGCAGTCGCCATTCGAAGCAATAAATGCCTATCAATTCTTTACATTTTGTACTCCTGCACTTACCTGTTTAGAACTTGAACTTCGAAATTAGGGGATTCTTGCGTGACCAATCAAAAACCTTAACTGGTATCTTTCAATTACAAACACCGTTTTAGTGAAAATAGCATTTTATTGGTTATTCTAATTTCGCTTTACAATACTATATAGTACGCTCGGTTCTTTTCAATTTTTTTTTTTTCCTCCAAAAAACCTCTCCAGAGTGATCAAAAAAGGTCAACTTGTGCGCTTGCAAAAGGTGAGTAACATTGGACCACTTTTTTTTTTTTTTCCAAGGGATCCAGGTACAAAACTATCCTATTTTCGGTGTGCGTAATTGAACAGAAAAAAAAGTGCGAAGAATTACGATACATTTCTTTTGATAACTAAGTGTATGCTCATCCCTTCCCATCTTCGTTCGACTTTCATTTCTTCGAGGAATTAATTCTCGAATTTCGGTTATTTTTTTTTTTAAAAAAAAAGAATTCAGCCAACAAGAATTCTTAGTACTTCACATCTTCCGCGCTTCTAGTTAGTTTAGGCATTCTCACGTCTCCAGGATAATTGAATTTCATTAATTTTCTTTTCAAAATTTTCTTGTTCAAATTAAGCTCTGGGGAAAATTTTCAACCTCGAACACCTCTATAACATAAAAGTTTTGAAAAAAAAAAAACTTGACGTGTCCTAACGACACCTATGAACATTGCTGAGGAAAAGTGGTCTATTCAACAAGTTCAAGCACCTCCTTCTCCTCACCACACACATTCTACAATAACACCGCAAATGAACGGTATGCCTACGGACAACTTTATGCCATCTTACCAATACGAAGGTCAAACGACGCAAAGTCAAATGCATCCTCAACAAATGTAAGTTTATAGAAACACTTGACATTTTTTTTCGATAGTCTTGTTGCCGCGCACGTTTTACAGTTTCCACAACGAGCATAGTATGTCTCCCACGTTTCATTTGTACTTGGTACAATGCAAGTCGATGTTTCTTCCCGCCGCGTGTCACCTTACACATGATGTCCTAGCCTTCTTTTTGTCATTCACCTGCCTTTTCTCGTCTCTCGAATCTTCCTCCAATGCATAAATCTTCTTCCCCTAAACACATAAATACTCTATCCATTTCACTTAACCCCGCAGTTCATCGTTTTAAAGAACTTTTTTTACAACTTTCACCATTCATCACGTTACTGATTTCATTTTGTAATCTGGTAATTCTTTGCGGCACTCGTATTGAACATTTATTAACAACTTTGTGTCAACTACTCTCGCAATTCCTTTAAAATGGTTCCTTCAACAGTGTAAACCCTAATTCATCGGCAAATGCGACCGATCGCAAGGTCATCGACAACCGTCCCACCTTTGCTACCTCCTCATTTCACGCCACATTCCAACCAGGTGTTCCGAGGAAACGTCGAACTGATACGATGGGCTTTCCGCAAGATGCCGGCCCATTCTTCTCTCAAACTCATCAACATTATAATGTATACAGCATGGATCGAACAATGAGGTTTGTGTTTTTAATTTATGAATCATGAGGCCTAAATATTTGATGCACATGATTTTTGACATGACAATCAATCTCCTTTATCAAATGTCAGTTACAAGCTTAAAATCAAGTCCAAAGTTGATCGTGGCTTTTTCTTGGCTGATAATGATTGGACGTGTTATCGAAGGAACTACTTTCAAATTAGTAGCGCATTTTCGATCTCCCATCCGAGCGGCGAAACCGATGCACCTTGTTTAATTGAGGTTGATGGACAATTTCATTCCGTCACTCAATTCCAGCTAGGAATCACCGCCAGGGTATCTAATAGCGACAAGAAGATCGAGTTGGTACAACATACGCCAAAACGTGATAAAGGTCCCCAAATGGTCCCTGCGCCAAAGCCAATTCGTCCCGGTGGAAATCTCAATCTGAGCTCGGTTGGCTCAAACTCAAATATTGTTACCTTTGAACGAATTCAATTCAAGACGGCCACTGCTAACAATGGCAAGCGTCGTGCTGCCCAGCAATATTATGTAATTATGGTTGACCTTTTCGCTCAAACGGACTCTGGTGAACAATTTCGAGTAGCCTCCACAACCTCTGCTCCCTTGGTCGTACGTGGTCGCAGTCCTGGTCACTATGCCGACAATCACGATCGTTACAATCCAATGGCTATGAACCCAGCATTTCCAAACGATCGTCATATTAGTTATCAAGGACCGAATGGGCCTTCCATGATTCAACCGGATTTTAGTGGTGCACCATTCACGGGACCTTACGGACAATACCCGTCCTTTCCGTTTCCTCCGGTAATGATGGCTGGAGGACCAAGTGGACAAGTACCTCCATTCCACCCTCAACATCCACATCAACAATACATGGTGCAAGGCATCTCTGACTCGGGGGAAAATCAAAACCCCGAGATGTACAACAATACAAGCATGGATCCAAACATCGTCAGTGGTCCTCACGATCAAAAGATGCATCAAGGTCAACATGGCCAAATGGAGATGCACATGGAAGGAGTCGCGGCCACCTCAACTCCACATTCTGCTTTCTCGAGTTTTGAACCACGTCAAATTCAGACTTCAGGGGCAAATTCAAATTCCGCTGCCGGGAATAAACCTTACATGAAAATGGAGGTCGTGCAATCCTCGGAACTTCCCGATCACTCACTCTCCTCTCCTCATTACAATACACAAGAATACGTGGAAAACTTCCATATGTATGATAATGCACCCAACAATGGTTCCTCTCACCACGGTAGTTACCATTCCGATAATGAGCAAGCCAATGGTCGTCAAGCGAGACCTGCTGGTTCTAATAATGGACATCACTCTCCGCCAATTGAGAAATCAGAACAAAATTCCAAATCTCCATCATCAAACGGTAACATTAATTCTTAGATATGAAAATTTAAAAAAACAAACAAACCAACAGATGTCTTGGGAGTTAATCGTTATCCGCCGGATGAGAGTGATGGAGAGAACTGGTAGACGCACGGAAAGGAATTTCCCACGAATTGTTAATACTCTTTGAGGCCTGGTATTCGGGTTACATTAAGTAAGGTCTTGGGTACCTTACATTGTAATTAATTTTTGGGGCTTTATTATATTTGTTTATAAAGGGACTAGAATTTAAAAAGGGTTTGGATGCGTGTATTTTTTTTTTACTAATTAGAGAGAAATAGAAAAAAATTACCAAAAAAATATTACGGTTATTATCCTTAGTTGTACAACATATTTATTTGCATCATACTATATATATATATATAATTCTTTAGCTGTTCATCTAATAATATTTTCCCCTCCGTTTTTTGCTTTACACTCACACAATCACCTTTTTCCATCAAAAAAAAAAACAAGAGTTTTTTTTTTTTTTTATTTTTTTATTTTTTTTTATATAACCTCCCTTTCCTTAATTATGTATTATTTATATTTAAGTTTTTTAATTTTCATCTTTTCTGTACCACTATATTACACTGTTACTTCCTCAATCCACCTTCGTTGAAATGAATAGTTTATCACATATTCCTGCTACTCAATTATTTATTCTTTTTTTTCTCAATTCAGAAATTTCAAAAAATTTGTACCATAAATTCGACTGTTCCACATATCCTCGATGGGACGATTGTTCTGTGGGGGTGAGATGTACCGGAGTTAAATCATAGAATGATTGATAATGCAAAAAAAATCACTCCGGGTTATATTATAAATGTCGTATGCACCAGAAACACTGTAAATTATACAAGACTTTAAGTAATGCAAGAATTCAAATAAAATGAATTACCCTTACCATTATTGTCTCATCGATTTGCCTTGAAAAATCGGAAATTTATATATTTTCGTTATTTGATTTTATTTTTTGTTTTATCATCTTAATTGACGCGTAGCATTTTCAAAAAAAAATTCGTAACGTAAAACAGAAAACGGGAATCATTATCCTTTTACTAAAAAGACTTTAATCACGAAAAATTTTTTTCATTACATCACAGATACATTCATGTAATTTAGTTATTGGCCACAAACTCTTCACCCTTTCTAATATTACTTTTTAACTCGGGTAATGCAGCTCCGATGAGTTGTTCTTCGTATGGACTGATGGATCCCAATGGGTGGATCTTACCAACACCTTCACGACTTAATTCGACATTTGAAGCAAAGTAATCAACCCCTTCCGAGGAGAAGAGATCCGATTTCACATAAGTCGGCTCGATTATACCCGATTCTCCGAGAACTATGGCCCGAAGTAGCGAGTCAGTGAAACGAGCGGCGGCAAAAGCCATCGAAAGTGTCGCCGATCCGGTACCTGGTGATCGAAAAATAATCAAAAATTTAATCACCTAGATCATTGGGATCATTTGCACGTCAATGAAAACCAAGAGAAACCAACCAGCTTTTGCCTTAACAACTTCATCGCCGCCGAATTGAATCCTGTGTGTTAAAGCCTTCAATTCTTCTTCGGTGAATTTTTGACGTGTTTGGGAAAGTAGAGGTACAATGGTAACACCAGAATGACCACCGACAACAGTGACATTCTCATCTTTTGGATTTGTGCCTTTGATTTCGGATACAAAACGGGATGCGCGAACAACATCAAGGGTGGTGACTCCAAAGAGTCTGTTATTTATATCACGTTAAACGAATATCGATGGATTACACTTTTAAATTTAACTGAAAAACACACATACCTCTTTGGATCGTAGACTCCGTGTTTCTTGAAAACTTCTGAAACGATTGGTAAGGTCGAATTAACTGGATTGGATATGATTGCTAGAAATGCCTTGGGTGCATATCTAATTTATCATTCGATTAATAAAATATTCAATCAAAGCATTGTGATGAAGAGAGAAAAAACTTACTTGACAGCCGCGGCAGCCAAATCCCTGACTATGGAGGCATTGGTCTGATTGAAAAGGTTTCACGCGATTTGTTAAGAAACAGAACACTTTGTTAAATAAACACCTTTCACACGTGATTTCAAAAACATACATTAAACAGGTCATCACGCGTCATTCCAGGTTTTCGGGGAACACCTGCTGGAATGACAATGATCGTGGAATCCGAGAGAGCATGTTTTAGACCTTCATTTTCGGGAATGAAGCCGGTGACCTATAATTGAATTCAAAGTTATCGGTGTCAGGCATGGTTGAAAAGGGATTAAACAATAGCATTTTTTACCTTGCTATTAGTGTTGATATGACTTATATCGGCGGCGACACCAGGGGTGTTTACAATATCGTAAAGTGACAATTCGGATATCAACTCGTTCTTCTTGAGTAGAAGGGAGAGTGGTTGTCCGATACCTCCAGCAGCGCCAAGGACGGATACCTTGGCAGCGTGAACACCAGCTGAAGACGAGAAAAAACGTTTAGCTACATCAACGTTGATTCTACGAAGGACGAACATGTTTAACAGAGGGTGTTGTTGGTTGGTAGTTTGACGAACATCTTACATCCGAGCGGGTTGCACCAAAGTGATTATCAATACCGGTTCAATTCCACCAATACTTGTTTACACATGCGCATTGAAAAAAAAAAAAAAAAAAGATCTATCTACTTGTACTAATCGATCACCATTACTCGATGACTCACGAATTCCGAAAAAAGCGAACATACGACACACACATATGTTATTGCAGTTATAGCAAAAAATCTAAGTAGGTCGCGCCGAGATTCGAACTCGGATCACAAGATTCAGAGTCTTGGGTGCTAACCATTACACCACGCAACCATGACAATGGTACGACAGACAAATAGGAAAACAAAACCAATCCCTTTTTCTTAATGCATTACCAAATCCGTCCTTGTTTACGTCATGAACTTTATCAAATTGGATCCGTAAAATTACAATCAAAATTTAACTGCCGTCTCGAAATTTTTCATTTTCAAATTTACAAATGATCACAACTTAAATCCAGAGTGAATGGCCGCAATACCAAAAGTTAAATTTTCCCAACCATCTCCCACAACTGTAAACCCTGCGTTTTTTACCATCTCCGCAAATCTGTCTTGCGAAGGGAATTGTTGAATACTTTCTACAAGATATTGATATGAGTCTCTATCTGCAGCAACCAGTTGTCCGATGACCGGGATAATTTGAAATGAATACATCTTGTATAATCTGGTGTGATTTCGAAAGTTGACTGAAATTCTGTTGTTTTGTAGAGGTGAAAAAAAATATGAAATCACTTACGGTGCAATCGCGGGATTTTGTACATTTCCAAATTCTAAGCACATAAACCTTCCCCCAGGCCTTAAAACTCTGTAGGCCTCATCCAGAACTCGATCTATGCGAGTACAATTGCGAATACCAAATGATATCGTGTAGGCATCGTACGAATTCGACGGGATAGAAGAGAGATCTTCAGCGTTTCCCACTTCAAAAGTAACTTGGGACGCTTTGTCATGCGGATAAGAGATTCAATTTTTGATACTGTACAATGACCTTCAATTAACGAGAAACTGATATCTCACTTTTTTCGTACGGTGTCATTGAAAATCTTTTCTTGCCAACGTTCAACATGTGTGGATTGATATCCAATAATGTCACCTGAGCACTGTTGTCCCCATGGATTTCCTTACAATAGTTAAGGAATCTCATGGCGATGTCACCTTAAAATTTTAATATTAATGCCTTTTGGTAAATTATAATAATTATTATTTTAAGATGAATTGATTAGGACGACTTGAGACCACCTGTTCCCCCAGCAACATCCAATAATTTGGTACCGGGGCCAGGAGCCATAGCTCTGATGAAATGATCTTTCCACAGTCGATGTATGCCAAGACTCATCGCGTCATTCATAACATCGTATTTCGACGCCACGTTGGAGAAAACCTGTCCAACTATGTATCATTTTATTAAGTGTGATTATCGGTGGCAGAAATAGTAAATTCTTTATTACCCAAGGTTTCTTTCATGCTTTCCGGGACACTCTTGAACCCAAAATGAGTTTCAGCTTCATGATTTGACGTTTTTTCGTGAAGTCGGTAAGTGGTGGAAGTGAATCCTCGGAAGGTTGATTTTTTGAAGTGAGAAGCACATGATTTGATTCTTAAAAACATGTGAAGTTCGTTGAAGCAGTAACCTGAGTTAATATGTATATGTATTTATAGAAAATATTATGTTAGCCATGTGACCTAGATCAGGTTTATTTTTTATTTTTGCGATAAGATGCCATTGTTGGAATTTACTGTACTTGAAACATTCGGAATGTCGCGTTTCTTTCGTCCCAAACTCCTATTCTCCGTCAAATCTTCCTTATCATACAAGAGTTTTCTTCCGGTAATTTCATCGGTCCCTTTCAAAATTCACTATTCTTCGACATCAACAATTCCCCCTCAGTCAAACAACCAACCCGGTAAAACACCTGGAGGAAAATTGCGAAAGCTGTATCCTTTCTTATCCCAGTACATGCTCTGGACAATTTTCGGTTCTTTCCTACTTCATTTGCTATGGTCAAAAATGAAATATCAAGAATATCAGGATAAAATGGATTTGAAAGTCGAAAAACTCGAGGACATCATTAGACGCCTGAGAAATGGGGAAAATGTCGACGAGGATATTTTGGCTTACAAGAAGTTTTACGATCCTCTTTCCAGCGTTGGCATTCCGGATAAAGATCATGCTATAAAGGATAATGGTATTCATTTTATCATGTCACAAACAAATTGTATGCGCTGTAGTCGTTGATTGTGATTAATCATTGTCCATAGATATAAAACCAGCAAATACACAAAACATAACCTCGACTGACGACCGAACAACGAAAAAACTCTCAAGCGTATGGATATAAAAAACAAGTGAATAAAAATTATCTTTATTACTATTATGGTGATCACTTTATGTATCCACAGACATCATATTTTCATCTTTATCCGGAGGTCTCAATTTATTCTCCAACGCGAGTAAAAGTCGAGCGCATTTTGATTGAATAATATGTATGGAATCAATGAATATCCTTTCAGAATCCAAAATACCCGTGGATTCCACCGTGACTGTAAGGGATAAGGGATAAAGGATAAAAAGTTTTTTTTTGATCAATCATCACCGATCTACAAAAATCAACATGGTGACAATGACAAGGCTTACAGATGAAATGGTCTCGTATTCGTGTAAGTTGAACTTTATCCTCAAATTCTTTGTGACGCAAGACTTCACGGCTTACCGTGTCGATTCGTGGATTAACCACTTTTGCTTTTTTGATCATCTCACCATTCACTAATAGGAAAAGGAATTATTTAAGATCACAAAACAATCTTTTTTATAGGAAGCAATGAAATATTGTTACCTTCCTCTTGTACGACTTCAACGACACCTTTGGTAAAACAGGCAGCAAACTTATCAGCCAAGTCGCCAGTAATTTCTTCTTTCAAAATTATTTCGGGCATCAAACGATATGATGCGGTGGCTGTTGTTGAAATATATAAATCTCCGGTAGAAGAGTAGAGTAAAAAAAAGAAACGTTTTCTTCCTCTATTTACCAACTGGTGACCATTTTGCATGTTCCTTGCCAATCCCTTTCTCACAATGCGCTTCTAGCTCCACCCTCTGTCGAAGATGTTGTCAAAAGTCACTACACATTATTTTCGCATCTCAACATTTGTGTATGAACATCCTCACCTGTCCAGGTCTCATTTGTGCGATTAAAATATCATCATGAACTGATTGTATCGGGTTATCCGCAAAACGTTCGGCCTGTTCACCTTTTGGATCCCATATTAATGATGCCGACAGAACTAATCGTTCAAAGAATAGAAATCAATTAGGATGACCATTATGTGGAAACATGAGGATGATAGTACATACTCACGATTGTGACCGACATATAGATTTTTCGGATTCGTTTCGTCGTCGCGTGCCTTCGCGTTATAGTGACACTCATGACTTATTTTAAATACTATTGTGTTCATGTCCGTTGGTCCCTCGTTTTCTATTAGATACTAAAATATTTTAACATGAACATTCTAAAACCGACTAAATCAAAATTAAACATGAAAACACCTTGTTTGAAGTAAAACATGTCGGGATCAGCTTTGATCGGAATCAATCCCAGGCGATGTGCAAACACCTCATCTTGTATAATGGATGTATTATCATAAATGTACACCTTTTCGATTGCCATCGTTGGTACCTTTTTTTTTTTATTGCAAGATGGATGAGTCATTCATTTCGTTACCATTAAAAATTCAATATTCTGATAGAACGCGAACCTCTGAGATCATGATACGCCTTAAAGCATTCGCTATGGCTGTGTTAACACCGATCAGATCGAATTCCATATCGTATTGTGCCTTTCGGATTATTTTGACCTTTAACTTCTGTTGTGAACGAAAATAATGAACACATGAAGAACGTTCAGCACCAAGAATAAATGATACGATGATTACCTTTCTGAACTCTGCGATCGGATCAAGATCTGGGTATCGGCTTGAATTGTGGAAGGGAAAATCGCTGGACGAAGTCTAGAAGCGAAAAGATTGGTTATAAAGAGGTGCCATACGTGATCGATGTGGTCCATGATACTATACACTGTTTACGCCATCTCGTTCTATTATGACCCTTGTTCTTAATTGTTCAAGTCGTTCTGATGTTGAACGACGGCCAGACATTTTTTTTTTTTTGTGTGTGCACAAGATCTCTCAATCTTTCTTATGTATATGAATTCGGGGTTCTAAATTAGTCGATGTGCATCATTAAAGTTACACAGCGATTAAAAGTGATACATTACCGAAACCGAAAAAATATTCTCAATACCACTATTGTAACTTCCGTAAGACTCATAAATCATGAAGGTTCTTATTTGTGGTGGTGCTGGCTATATTGGCTCTCACCTTGTCCGTGAACTGTTAACTCAACCTGGTTACGAGATTATCGTTCTAGATAACCTTTCCAAGGGTCATGTAGAGTCCATCCCTACTGGTGTTGAGTTTGAGAACGCAAATATTTGCGACAAAGAAAGTCTCGAACGTGTTTTCTCGAAACACAAGCCAGATGCGGTGATGCACTTTTGTGCCTCCATCGCTGTTGGAGAGAGTGTTACTGATCCCTTGGGTTACTACGAGAACAACGTAGTCGGCACCATTTATTTATTACAAACCATGATAAAACATAATGTCAAATATTTCATTTTTTCCTCCACTGCCGCCATCTTTGGAAACCCCGAGGAGACTCCCATTGCCGATAATGCCCCCACAAAACCCATTAATCCCTACGGTGATACTAAACTCACCGTCGAAAAGATTCTCGCTTGGACTGAAGATGCTCATGGATTGAAATACGTTTGTCTCAGGTACTTTAATGCTTGCGGTGCTCATGAGAGCGGGGAAATCGGTGAGGACCATGATCCCGAGACTCATTTGATACCCGTCGTTCTTCAAGTACCTCTTGGTCAGAGAGAGTTCATCAAAATCTATGGTGACGACTACGATACAAAAGACGGAACCTGTGTGCGAGATTACATACACGTGACCGATCTGGCAACCGCCCACATTAAAGCGCTTGAATATCTCGTGAGAGTGAATAAATCCGATAGATTCAACTTAGGTTCGGGTGAGGGGTATACTGTCAAAGAGGTAATTGAAGCGGTTAGGAAAGTCACCGGGCACCCGATTCCCGAAGTAATAGAAGCTCGCAGGGCTGGCGATCCCGCGGTGTTAATTGCTGGATCCGAGCGTGCTGAAAAAATTCTTGGATGGAGGAGGAAGTATAATAAGGTCGAAGATATCGTCGCCACAGCTTGGAAATATCATCAAGCTAATCCGAACGGATATAACAATAAATGATTACATTAATCTGTGTAAAAATAAAAGATACTATATGCATAATTCCAGATTTCCCGTGGAAATTTATGACATAAATTGTGTATCGCCTTCGATTGAATTGTGTCTACGCGAGACTTCAACTGTCACCTCTGGGTTCCGATCGAACACAGAATTTACGAAAATGGAATTGATTACACGTCTTAAGGCAGTTTAGTTCTAAACACGATACATAGTCGCACAAGGATTTGGTTCGGTTGGCTTTGTAAGGTTTTGATAGGCTGCGTAAAAATCTTTTTTTTTTTTTTCAAAATAAATAAAATTAGCAGTACCCTTTTTTTCCTCGAGTTTAAGCGTTCTACTTCACGCATGTTTTCTATCTAAACTTTACTTCGCACCAACGTAAGATCTAGTAACACGAAAACGTTAAACCCACAATCTTATACACGAAACCTTTATTTTACGGTAACAGAAAGTTCTAACAGTGATTCGTAAAAGTTTTTAACTTTACTTTATATTACTTTTTCTAATGATCCACTTTCCTCTGACTTTTATCCTGTCGTACCCCATTAGTAGAACGTTGAAATATAACTATCACCTAGAAAACCGCCCAATACAAGATTTAATACGATTCGTATCAAGACAACAAACTACATTGAACCTGGCAAAATGAGTCAACAAGGACAAAACGGCACCTCCGATAATAAAGATTTGGGCGTGGTCCCGGCCTTACCGCAACTAGTCGAACTTGGTGAAAAGTGCGCTACCATCAAAAAGCTTTCAACTGAGGTTCTACAAAAAGCAGAGAAAGAAGCTGGCAAAAAGGTAGATTTATTTTTTTGCTAGTGATTTTTCAATTGCGTGTTTTCATGCCAACTTACTTTTTCCTTAAAAAGTCAGGGTCAACAAATACAAATGGAACGTCTGCGGATGTCTCAATTCAACCTATAAAACAACAGCTCACTCGTTCTTTCGTCCAGCTTAGATCATTGAATCGTAAAGCTAACTTGGAAAAGGCGGCTGATAAATTATGCACGCAGGAAGCGAAAACTTCCATGGATCGGATTCATTTACAATTGCAAGACCTAAACTATATGAAATCTTTTCTTGAGAGAGAGATTCGAAGATGCAAATCATTCAGGTGTGTACCTCTTGTTACTAGATGTTCCGACATATTCAATTGACCTTAATTTAAATCGCATTAGGTCAAAATATCAAAAGATAACGTTGATACCGGAGCAAGAGTTCTTTGCCAGAGCACCAGAAAGGCTGACTACATCACTTCCCAAAGGCGAGGCCTCTGATAAGCAACAGCTTCATCATCTTATGCTTCAAAGGTTGAACTTTGAAAAAGAAGAACGAATGAGGTAAATGAAACCTGAATGATGCATGAATTTTTGTTATTAAGATCGGTGTGTATATTGATTAAATTTGGTTTGAAATTTAGATTGAAGGAGGAGGTGCAATGTAAATTGAAACGAAAGAAAGAAATCTCAGAACGAATCGCTGTCAAGAAGTCTAAGATTGACAATTCGAATCGGGAAATTGAAAAGTTTATAAAAGTAAGAGATATTTTTGATGTTTAGCATCCTTCATGGATTCAATGATACTCATTGATGATGCCTATACAGGAATCCAAGCCTTTGGAAGAACTATTCACTAAAACCGATGAACCTATTCCGATGGAAACCGAGTAGACAGATTAATAATAATGGGAAGCTTCGAAAGAGTCGATTATTTAATAATTCATTATTTTATTAAAAATTTTTGATGTACATAATTTTAATTTCATAACGATACTTTAAGGAAGCTTTCCTTATTAGTCTGGATTTGTTCAGGTAGTATTTTTGGAATATAGTATTCCAAAATACGCTATATCCGGGGGCATAGATTTGTGATGACTGGAATAAAAAATTTTAATACAGAGGATTTATTCGATCGGCCACTGATACTAGCCGGACGAGAGTCTCGACCAAATCATAAATCCGTCGGATATAGTTACTATTCGGAGACCCTTCTTTCTTTCATCACTAAAGTTCATGAGACTAGAACAAAAATAGATTACATTGTGAACAATTAATAAAATACGCATAATTCGTTATCTTCTTACTGTAAATATCATACTGAATCTCAGTATCCAGAGTCATATGGTGCCACGGATTAGCGAGAGGGTCACATAAAAATGATGTGCCGTTTTGTAGTTCATATCTATCTGAGTCGGTATTCAATTAAATCGTTGTGGATTCTTATTGCCTTATCGTGTTTTGTGACAGGTCTTAATGACTAAATCGTTAGAAATATTAGTGTAAGATTTCGATGATGCACATATTCCAATAAGCAATAATTGAAACATGACTTATACCATGTATTTTCTTATATTTTATCTTTCCATTAAGCAATATTTATAACTGCTTTATTACAGTAATTATAAAAACCATCCAAGGTTTAGATCCTATTTTATTATTCAAAGTTATTATTTTAATATTTTTTATAGGTATAGGCCATTTTTTAAATATATTTATTTCCTTGGATTTTTTTTTTTAATTTAAATTTATAAATTTATTTTACGAAAGTTTGTCATAAGCGAAGGTCATTCGGTTATAATTTATTTTACGAAAGTTTATCATAAGCGAAGGTCATTCGATTATAATTTATTTCTTTTTTTATTTATTAAATTATTTCAAAAAAGAGGAGAGAAATGCTATCAATAAAATTCACTCTCTTCGTCTTCTATGGTTTCAATCTCATATTGATAACGATATCCAAGTTCATCTTGTCCGTATTCCCCATATTTTAGATATCATTTGAAATGCTTTGTTATAATCTTGAGTAGTCCCAATTCCATTCTTGTAACAATGTACGAGATTTATCTGTCCCTTAAGATCTCCACCTTCAGCGGATTTCATATACCAATGAAGTGCACTCTCTTCGTCCTTTATGGTCCCAATCCCATATTGATAGCAATATCCAAGTTCATTTTGTCCGTATGAATTTTCGCCTTCAGCAGATTTCAGGTACCATTGAAATGCTTTCTCAAAATTTTGAGTAGTCCCAATTCCATTCTGATAACAATATCCGAGATTACATTGTCCCATATGATTTCCACCTTCAGCAGATTTCATATACCAATAAAATGCACTCTCTTCGTCTTTTATGGTCCCAATCCCACATTGATAAAAATATGCAAGTTTATTTTGTCCATCTGAATCTTCGCCTTCAGCAGATTTCAGGTACCATTGAAATGCTTTCTCATAATTTTGAGTAGTCCCAATTTTATTCTCATAACAATATCCGAGATTATATTGTCCTATATTATTTCCACCTTCAGCAGATTTCATATACCAATAAAATGCACTTTCTTCGTCTTTTATGGTCCCAATCCCATATTGATAGCAATATCCAAGTTTATTTTGTCCATCTGGATTTTCGCCTTCGCCAGATTTCAGGTACCATTGAAATGCTTTTTTATCATCCTTCGCAACCCCAATTCCATTCTCATAACAACGTCCGAGATTATATTGTCCTATATGATTTCCACCTTCAGCGGATTTCATATACCAATAAAATGTAAACTCTTCGTCTTTTATGGTCCCAATCCCATATTGATAATAATATGCAAGTTTATTTTGTCCTTGTGGATATTCACCTTTGCCAGATTTCAAGTACCATAGAAGTGCTTTCTCATAATCTTGAGTAGTTCCAATTTCATTCTGATAACAATATCCGAGATTATATTGTCCCATATGATTTCCACCTTCAGCAGATTTCATATACCAATAAAATGCACTTTCTTCGTCTTTTATGGTCCCAATCCCATATTGAT